TCAGTATGTGGCTTCTGTAAAACAGCACTACTGTATGCTGTTAGACATTAGTAACTCTGTTGCAATCCACAGCCAACTCTCAGCGAAGGATTCCGTTGCAATGTGGTGAGTGACACAAATACATTTTTACCTGCATGGCTGACTGAGGAGTAATAAAGACATTTAGGTTTTCACTTTACAGTATGTTCTGTTTGATTTGTTATTCCATGCCACCACCTAGTGGAGGACCACACCACTGTGCAAAGGGAAAGTTTGGTGAGAGGTGACAGAGGAAAACATCTCAGAGCCCTGAGGGTTGAGCATGAAGCTAGGGTTGGACATGAAGTTAAGGTTAGGGTTAGGGTTAGGTTTGAGGCTAGACTTAGGGTTGAGCTGGGGTGTGAATATGAAGCTAGGGTTACAGTTGGGGTAGGGTTGATGCTAGAGTTAGGGTTGAGCCAGGATGTGGACAAGATTGGGTTAGAGTTAAGGTTAGGATAGTTTCTGACTCGTATTCCCACTCATATTCATACTAAGACCAGCCTACAGTAATTCCAGTCTAACTGGAATTCTCACCAGTCTTTCTAAAAGGTTAACCAGATTCCAAACCAAGGTTTCAGTCTGTTGCATCTGGTTTCCTACAGTGTTGTAGTGGAGGCTATACGCAGGTATATGCCGTATACCCACTTTTTTTACAGTGGGCATTGCGTATACTCCCTTCTTAAAACCAGTGGTGGACAGAGTACCAAATTGTCATACTTGAGTAAAAGTAAAGCTACCTTAATAGAAAATGACTCAAGGAAAAGTGAAAGTCACCCAGTAAAAGTCTAAATGTATTTGGTTTTTATCAAAAGTAAATGTAACGAGTACTTTTGGATGTCAGGGAAAATGTATGGAGTAAAAAGTATATATTTTCTTTAGGAATGTAGTATAGTAAAAGATAAAGTTGTCAAAAAATATAATTAGTAAAGTAATGTACAGATACCCCCAAAAAACGTACTTAAGCAGTACTTTAAAGTATTTTTACTTAACACCACTGCTAAAAAACCTATTAGATGTAAAGTCCCCTGTTTTGAGAACCTGTGTGGTTCTGGTACCAGTTCCAACCGGCATTTTCATTTATAAATCGATATGTGGACACCATAGATCGAAATGGCTTGCATTGAGCGGTAACCATGATTCTCACGGACACAGGAGTACAGAGCATTCGGAAAGTATTCAGACCCCTTAACTTTTTCCACATTTTGTTACGTTACAGCCTTATTCTAAAATTGATTATTATTATTTTTATCCCTCATCAATCTACACACAATACCCCATAATGACAAAGCAAAAACTGATTTTTATAAATTTTTACAAATGTATTAAAATAAAAAAAACTGAAATTACATTTACATAAGTATTCAGACCCTTTACGCAGTACTTTGTTGAAGCACCTTTGGCAGCGATTACAGCCACGAGTCTTCTTGTGTATGACGCTACAAGCTTGGCACACCTGTATTTGGGGAGTTTCTCCCATTCCTCTTTGCAGATCCTCTCAAGCTCTGTCAGGTTGGATGGGGAGTGTGGCTGCACAGCTATTTTCAGGTGTCTCCAGAGATGTTCAATCGGGTTCAAGTCCGGGCTCTGGCTGGGCCACTCAAAGACATTCAGAGACTTGTCCCGAAGCCACTCCTGCATTGACTTGGCTGTGTGCTTAGGGTCGTTGTCCTGTTGGAAGGTGAACCTTCACCCCAGTCTGAGGTCCTGGGCGCTCTGGAGCAGGTTTTCATCATGGATCTCTCTGTACTTTGCTCTGTTCATCTTTCCCTCAACCCTGACTAGTCTCCCTGTCCCTGCCGCTGAAAAACATCCCCACAGCATGATGCTGCCACCACCATGCTTCACCTTAGGGATAGTGCCAGGTTTCCACCAGACTTGATGCTTGGCATGCAGGCCAAAGAGTCTTGGTTTCATCAGACCAGAGAATCTTGTTTCTCATGGTCTGAGTCCTTTAGGTGCCTTTTGGCAAACTCCAAGCGGGCTGTTATGCATCTTTTACTTCCGTCTGGTCACTCTACCATAAAGGCCTGATTGGTGGAGTGCTGCAGAGATGGTTGTCCTTCTGGAAGGTTCTCCCTTCTCCACAGAAGGACTCTGGAGCTCTGTCAGAGTGACCATCGGGTTCTTGGTCACCTCCCTGGCCAAGGCCCTCCCCCCGATTGCTCAGTTTGGCCGGGCGGCCCGCTCTAGAAAGAGTCTTGGTGGTTCCAAACTTCTCCCATTTAGAAATGATGGAGGCCACTGTGTTCTTGGGGACCTTCAATGCTGCAGAAATGTTTTGGTACCCTTCCCCAGATCTGTGCCTCAACACAATCCTGTCTCGAGGCTGATGGAACAGATCAGAATGTTTAGCTTAAAATGTTTATAAACTATTATTTCATCACATTTGAAGGGCAGCAAAGTGCACACGGCGGTAGGCCTATGCGTGAATGTTCCAAAATGCAATTTGCAAAAAAACACCATTCTAAAATGCGCATGCAAGCAGTTTCATGGACAGAGACAGAAGTATATGTTAGAAATTTAGAAAGAGGGGAGATCTAAAGAATCAACAACTATCATGGGTTGCTAATATGACTACGATAATGCTTTTGGCTGCTAGACAATGAAAGAAAGTTGATTTGAAAACCAATAGAATAGGAGAGCACATATGAGGAAGTGTTTATAAAATATTTCCCTCAACATTTCTATGGTCAAATGTTGTCTTGGCTACTTTGAAGCAAGGTGAGACATGCCTCACATTATGAAGTAAAACATCCAGGTTTCAAACAATGAAGGAACTGGAAAAATATGAGGATGCTAATGATAGGCCTAAACATCTTCTGGTAGACCGTAGAAGGAAACGCTTTCCCAAAAATCTTCTCAATTAAATGTTAGCTACAAACTAGCTACAAAGGAAGAATGATATCATGATTATTTGCATCAATCCAGTTGCCTTTTGTTTTGAAAACTGTAAGAAAGAAGGTTAACCAAACAAAACAGTGCTAGTTTCCTGCTTGCTTGAATTAAAGGGTAACTACACAAATAAATCTAAATTTCTATGATTTTTCCCAGGACTCAAAAGTGATCTCCTGATGTGGTTTAAGCATTTTTGTGGATTTAGAACGTCCAATTTGGTTGATTATCTATTTAAAAAGTGCGACTGTGAGCGAAAACCTGAAAAAAATGGAACAAATCTGAAACGTCTGAATTTCTGACTCAGTTGACAGCCTAATTTATCTATTTCATAAGCCTACTATTAGACTACTTGCACAGTACAGCTTGGGTTGGCCTGACTGAGAAAGACCAATATGGCATTTATAATTGTAGGTCATTCAGAGTACATGTCACTGTTTCTCATAGGGCACCTTTACTTCGCCAGACAGGTCGTTTGGGACATCTTTGGCAAATTTAGAGTATACCCACTTCTCCAGGCACCACTACAGCACTGGTTTCCTACCTTGTTCCCTTTCTGATGGGGCTGGTTCAGTGTGTGACATTTCAAAGTGTCTTAAATGTGATGTCACTATGTGCCTCTGTATAGTTGAGTTTCAACACTCCTAACACTAAGCATATAGGGACAGTACAGGCTACAGTATTGAAATCCCAAAGCTCATTAAAATATGAAACGAGGGTCAGATATCATTCTCCTTTAAAGTTCCAATGCAGCTGTTTTTATCTCAATATCAAATCATTTCTGGGTAAAAATTAAGTACCTTCCTGTGATTGTTTTCAGTTAAAATGGTCAGAAAGAAACAAAAATAGCTTCTTAGCAAAGATCAATTTCGCAAGCAAGAATTTTGCTAGGACTGTCTGAGAGTGGTCTGTGGGGAGGGGAAAACTGAGAACTAGCTGTTATTGGCAGAGAGGATTGGAAATCTATTTCTTATTGGTCTAGCTGGTGTCATGGCTAAATTCCCAATCTGGCCCTCATACCATCATGGCCACCTAATCATCCCCAATTTAACAGTATTATTCCAACCTAATAGTGCAGAAATATATATAAAACACAAGACAATCAAATTTTTGACTGCACTGGGCCTTTAAAAAACAATTGTTGCCACTGACCATAGGAGCACTTGAGCAAATGACTTGGCACTGATAGTATTGTCAACATGCTGGGTAAACAAAAAATAATTCCTTTGGTATGGGTGCAACCATTGCAATATTCATTTCTGTTCAGTCACATTACTTAACATTAAGACATACGTACTTGTAGTTTACACACAAACAAATGTAATGATTTGAGTGTTTGTTTGGTATCCGAGGGAAAGTGCTTGCTGGCTGCTGCTGTCGCCATCCTCTGACGCAGATGAGGTCAGGCAGGCGGGTGGTATCCTAATTTGCCAACCAGGGTGAAATTTAAGACGACCCCCTCTTTAAGCCACCAGTTCTGGAGCCCCCACTCCATAGATCAGTTATTCTTGGTGTCCGCCACTGAACTTGGTGACCATATTTTTCTGGAGCACTATCTCGGCCTCATATGCTCTTCTTTAAGAGCTGCTTCAACAACAGGTAAGAACATTGAATATGACTGTTGCATAGGAGTGTTGTGTTTAGAATGACTGCATCCCAAACCACAGCATTGAAACAACATGTCAGATAACGAGAACATTTATAAACTTGCTAATAAACTTGCTAACAAATTACAAAGTCACTCAATCATCTGAATATAATAGATTCATTATAGTTCTGATGTTACAAATTATTGTTTCGCTTATTATGAAATGAAATTGAAGACTGTAATGAAATATAGTATGTTCCTCAATTAATGCATCAGTTATCAATGATATAGCCTATATTGTTTTTAATGGATACATATATAATGCCTTAGGCTACTGCTGTCCTCGTTGCTTCCAGAGCCACAATATGGATGGAATTTAATTTCCTTATCTAATGGGCGGAGTTATGCGTTACTATACTCCTCTACTCCAATTCCGATCCAATCAGACTCTTTTGCTGGTATAACCATTGGTTACCAATGCACGAGCATTATGGGATGTGCACGTCAGCCTCCTGTACATGGTATTCGCGACAACTACACGTCAACATTTTCGCTAGTCTAAAGCTTCTTACTACTTTATGAATTTATTTTAACAAGCTTTCAGAGGTTTCCTCTTCACAATCGGGACTTGCTTTATCAAAGGGAAAATGAATGCAAAGAGTCCGCGGAATACCAGGACATAACGTCAGAGCAGTGGGGTAATCGGATTTGATTGTTACATAGCTGTCTGTAGTATCAGGGGTGTAATCATTACTTCAAACAGTTGTTCTGTTTTACAACGAAAACAAGCGTTTCTATTGGACATGTTCAGTAAACAGGGAGGGACCTACCTAAATATGTCCAATAGAAACGCTAGTTTTCATAGCAAACCAGAACGTTTTGTAACTGTTTAGAGTAATGATTACAGCCCCAGGTGGTAACGTTGTTGACAGTATAATGAATGGATCAAGGCAGGAGTAGTAGGTCATTGTCATCCATAAATATATGGTTGTCATCAGCCAACCCTTGTTGTTTGTGCATGCTATCAAACATAACAGTCACTTATCATTCGTTGGCAAGGTCTTGGCATAAATCTGTACTTTTTACTAGAGAGCCTCTAAAACATTGTCAAAAAGGCAAGGGGTCAGGTTTTATCCCACTAAGCATTTACTGACAGCAACGTGTTTTGGAAGTCTTTTTTTGGTCCTGCCCTGGACCAGCCATCTTTTTTTGGTGCAGTCCAGACAGGCCTTTACTTCAACGTCCAAGGACGTTGATGTTTGGTTCAGATGTTGTCCGGTCTGGACAAGAGGTCTTCATGGATCCACCTGTACCCGAATACATGATGCAGGGTCCGGATGGAGGATTCTAACTAATGTCATGGGTCTGGGTCGGATCTGATATGATTGTCAAAGGTATGGGGTATGTGTAATTTTAATTGACTTGTCCGGTAGGGACCATAGAGATCGAACTCGACTGCTGCAGTAGAGAGAGAGAGATAAATTGTATAATTAATGCTGCTGCTCTTGCTTTTTATGAGTGGAGCGTGGCACGTGTAGCTTGTTGTTGTTGTTGGCCAATCATAAGTCATCAAAACGGCAGTAGGCTACAGTCATAGAGCCTCTGTGTGTGTCAAAAGTTAGAAGATATCTAATCAATGGAAGATGGAATTAAAAGTTAAAGGAGAAGGATAGGCTACAACGACCAACTGCTACTTAATATTCTGAATGGAGTTCTTGTTATTTGTAACTGTAGGATGAGAAAGGGCATGCACTGCAGCCTCAATTAGCCTAGCTAGCTAACATTAGCTGGCTTAACAAGCTTCTCTCGGTTTGATGCAGTCAAGCAGGTACTATGTAATCATATTTGATGATAAATAACCTAGCTATGGCAGCTATTAGTCTACTATAGCGGGAGTTGGTTGGTTGGTTGCTGTCTCATCTCTCCCTCCCTCCTCCCTACTCCCAGTGTCACTCGCTGACAGTACGGCCCCTCCCTAGCCTGCTAGAGCTGCACCTCTCTCTCCCACCTCTTGTGCTTTATCAGCTCCTGTTAATAAAGTAGCTTAAAAAATGACTTTTCTGCTGCTTCCCTCGCTCGGCTCGGACCGGGTCTGGATCCGACCAGGTCTATACGGAACAGGAATAGTTGTCCTCAGGTCCGTTCGGAATGGGTCTCAATATTTTACAAATTAATTTATGCATATCAAGTCCAGGTGGGAATGCCCCAGCGGGTCCACCTTTTTGGACCCGTGAAGACCTCAAGTCTGGACCGGCCTTGATTTCAACGTCAACAGATGTCCGGGTCCGGTCCTGACCGGCCTATATGGCGCAAACATAGACTTTGGACAGCACAGTACAGTAGTAGCGGTGCATGGGTAAAATCACTGGGGAAGCCAAGCCAGGGAAAAAAGCCATATTACAACCTACAGTGGGGGAAAAAAGTATTTAGTCAGCCAACAATTGTGCAAGTTCTCCCACTTAAAAAGGTGAGAGAGGCCTGTAATTTTCATCATAGGTACACATCAACTATGACAGACAAATTGAGAATTTTTTTCTCCAGAAAATCACATTGTAGGATTTTTTATGAATTTATTTGCAAATTATGGTGGAAAATAAATATTTGGTCACCTACAAACAAGCAAGATTTCTGGCTCTCACAAACCTGTAACTTCTTCTTTAAGAGGCTCCTCTGTCCACTCGTTACCTGTATTAATGGCACCTGTTTGAACTTGTTATCAGTATAAAAGACACCTGTCCACAACCTCAAACAGTCACACTCCAAACTCCACTATGGCCAAGACCAAAGAGCTGTCAAAGGACACCAGAAACAAAATTGTAGACCTGCACCAGGCTGGGAAGACTGAATCTGCAATAGGTAAGCAGCTTGGTTTGAAGAAATCAACTGTGGGAGCAATTATTAGGAAATGGAAGACATACAAGACCACTGATAATCTCCCTCGGTCTGGGGCTCCACGCAAGATCTCACCCTGTGGGGTCAAAATGATCACAAGAACGGTGAGCAAAAATCCCAGAACCAGACGGGGGGACCTAGTGAATGACCTGCAGAGAGCTGGGACCAAAGTAACAAAGCCTACCATCAGTAACACACTACGCCGCCAGGGACTCAAATCCTGCAGTGCCAGACGTGTCCCCCTGCTTAAGCCAGTACATGTCCAGGCCCGTCTGAAGTTTGCTAGAGTGCATTTGGATGATCCAGAAGAGGATTGGGAGAATGTCAGATGAAACCAAAATATTACTTTTTGGTAAAAACTCAACTCGTCGTGTTTGGAGGACAAAGAATGCTGAGTTGCATCCAAAGAACACCATACCTACTGTGAAGCATGGGGGTGGAAACATCATGCTTTGGGGCTGTTTTTCTGCAAAGGGACCAGGACGACTGATCCGTGTAGAAGATGAAACGTGGCTGGGTCTTTCAGCATGACAATGATCCCAAACACACCGCCGGGCAACAAAGGAGTGGCTTCGTAAGAAGCATTTCAAGGTCCTGGAGTGGCCTAGCCAGTCTCCAGATCTCAACCCCATAGAAAATCTTTGGAGGGAGTTGAAAGTCCGTGTTGCCCAGCGACAGCCCCAAAACATCACTGCTCTAGAGGAGATCTGCATGGAGGAATGGGCCAAAATACCAGCAACAGTGTGTGAAAACCTTGTGAAGACTTACAGAAAACGTTTGACCTGTGTCATTGCCAACAAAGGGTATATAACAAAGTATTGAGAAACTTTTGTTATTGACCAAATACTTATTTTCCACCATAATTTGCAAATAAATTCATAAAAAATCCTACAATGTGATTTTCTGGAGAAAAAAAAATCTCATTTTGTCTGTCATAGTTGATGTGTACCTATGATGAAAATTACAGGCCTCTCTCATCTTTTTAAGTGGGAGAACTTGCACAATTGGTGGCTGACTAAATACTTTTTTCCCCCACTGTATGTGTTGTGATAATTGTGTTCTTTGCTCTACAACCTGTTAGTTCAAATGACACTGTGATATATAGGCCTAAGGCCAAGACAATAAGAAGACAAAAGTCACACAGTGGCAGAATCAATTCAACCCACGTTTGTTTCATCCCAAAACCGGAGAACAACATCTGTCCGGTACAGTCCACAAAGCATATTGCATGTAACAAACAGTTACATGACCAACAGCATGGTCAAACAAGTTTAATGTTTCCGACATTTTCGAACTACTAAACAACTATTGATTTAGAACCACAGAGAGTTACCGCAATTCGCAAAGAAAACAGGAGCTGACTCCACTATTCCAGCACCATTTCATCTTCAACATTTCAACATCATTAAATCACCTATGCTTAGTCAAATACAGTGACAACTTAAAGATACCAAAAATGATTTACTCCAATCAACATAAGCTAAATATGATGTGGCTGTCCATGGTTCTGATTTCTGTGTGTGTGTTTGCCTGCAAGTACAAAAAAACATGTTGACCCATCCTACTAGTAGAGGAACGCCAATGCCATCCTCCTCTCGTTCATGTTGCCGAAACGGTCTATGACTTTGTCATACAGTACACGCTTTTAGTTTTTGTTGTCCTAGGCTACCTGGCTAAAATGATTGTTCGCTAGCCTAACTTCCTTTCATGATCAACAATGGGCCAGCTAGTTAACATTAGCCTACTACATCTAGCTCCATATTAAACTTCCATCCTCTCAGGCCAGGGGAACAATGTATGAATGTATAATTTAGTTGGATCAGAATTGCCGTTATATTCATTGGCCAGTACGGAGAATTAAGAAAAACCAGTCCAAATACATCCATGGCTAATTTAGGAAAGGGACCATTTTAGATAGGTAGCTAGCCACCAGAGGACAACGACACAACGAGATGCAACAATTCAAGTTTTTTCTGTCAATTACGTTTTGCTTTAGATGTGATTTAATTGGTGTGAAGCCAAATCCAAACTGGCTTCCCTTGACACTTTTTTTGGGTGCGCCAAGACATTTACATTTTTACATTTTAGTCATTTAGCAGACGCTCTTATCCAGAGCGACTTACAGGAGCAATTAGGGTTAAGTGCCTTGCTCAAGGGCACATTTACGTCATTTAGCAGACGCTCTTATCCAGAGCGACTACAAATTGGTGCCTTCACCCTATAGCCAGTGGGATAACCACTTTACAATTATACTTTTTTTTTTTTTTTTTTTGGGGGGGGGGGGGGGGGTAGAAGGATTACTTTATCCTATCCCAGGTGTTCCTTAAAGAGGTGGGGTTTCAAATGTCTCCGGAAGGTGGTGAGTGACTCCGCTGTCCTGGCGTCGTGAGGGAGCTTGTTCCACCATTGGGGTGCCAGAGCAGCGAACAGCTTTGACTGGGCTGAGCGGGAACTATGCTTCCGCAGAGGAAGGGGAGCCAGCAGGCCAGAGGTGGATGAACGCAATGCCCTCGCCTGGGTGTAGGGACTGATCAGAGCCTGAAGGTACGGAGGTGCCGTTCCCCTCACTGCTCCATAGGCAAGCACCATGGTCTTGTAACGGATGCGAGCTTCAACTGGAAGCCAGTGGAGTGTGCGGAGGAGGGGGGTGACGTGAGAGAACTTGGGAAGGTTGAACACCAGACGGGCTGCGGCATTCTGGATGAGTTGTAGGGGTTTAATGGCACAGGCAGGGAGCCCAGCCAACAGCGAGTTGCAGTAATCCAGACGGGAGATGACAAGTGCCTGGATTAGGACCTGTGCCGCTTCCTGTGTAAGGCAGGGTCGTACTCTCCGAATGTTGTAGAGCATGAACCTGCAGACCATTCACAGTTGAGCTCACTCAGTTTAGCTCAACACTGATTGGCTATAATATATATTTTTTTTTAATATCAAGGGAGGCCAAATGCTTGCAGGCTTCCATTGCTGTTGAATTCAATGCTACGGGCAGCAACAATGTCATACACTTTTTGGTCAGACAGCATCAGATACATGGGCTACACATACTGAGACAGAGGGGCGCTGTTTCACTCGATAAGGTACTTTCTCCGGTGAGATACATTCAGCCTATTGCAAATTGAAGGAACATTTTGAAACACAGAGATTAAATAAATATGTTTTCCTTTTTTTTTCTTTTTTTCTTGGTCAATTTGTTGGGGAAGCCTGGCTTCCCTTGGCATCCATGAATACATGCCACTGCAGTACATCACAATACAGTACAGTGGAGCACAGGAGAGTACAGTACACAGTAAGTAAAGAAAAGTAGAGTATAGTACAGTAGAGCAAAGTATAGTGTACTGTATTGTACCCTACTTTACTCTAATAATAATATGCCATTTAGCAAACGCTTTTATCCAAAGCGTTTTTTTTTTGTGTATGGGTGGTCCCGGGGATCGAACCCACTACCTTGGCGTTACAAGCGCCGTGCTCTACCAGCTGAGCTACAGAGGACCACAATGTACTCTAATAGTGGTTCCCAAACTGTGCGGAGTGCCCCCTAGTGGGGGCGCGTGGGGTCGGCAGGGGCGGCGCGTGTTTTCTTTAGCATTATTTTTAAGAAACTTACCCCGGCTTTCCACTTACTTTTGAAAGTTGTAATAGTAGAATGCACAAGGTGCAATTTCGAAATTGGGTAGTGCATCATCAGTTTTCCTTTTGTCATGTTAGTCATTCCATACCTTAGAGAGCTACAGTATTTATAACTTGTCAGAAATGTCCAGATCAACAAGCCCATGTTAGCTAATGTTTTTTAGCTAGGTTTTTTAGCCCATAGATTTTGTTGTAATGTTTGAGTCACTCAACTATCACATGAATACACATTAGACATGGCAAAATGTATAGCATTGCAAGAAAATGACCTTTAAAACTGCAACATTTTCTCTGCACCCCATGACAAAATGTGAAGAATTGCAGGAAATAAGCTTTAAACCTGCAACATTTTCTCTCCACCAAAAAGAGGGGTGTGAACAATTTGTGTCATGAAGTGCTTGTACCCAAATAAATAGATGGGGCGCGGAATGTTCTCCAATGCTGGAAGGGGGGCCTGAATGAAAAGGTTTGGGAACCCCTGCTCTACTCTACTGAAATAAACTGTACTGTACTGTACTCTACCTAATTAAACTGTACTGTACTGTACTCTACCTAATTAAACTATACTGTACTGTACTCTACCTAATTAAACTATACTGTACTGTACTCTACCTAATTAAACTATACTGTACTGTACTCTACCTAATTAAACTATACTGTACTCTACCTAATTAAACTATACTGTACTGTACTCTACCTAATTAAACTATACTGTACTGTACTCTACTGAATTAAACTCTACTGTACTCTACTGAATTAAACTCTACTGTATGTACTGTACTGTACTGTACTCTGCTGTAGTCTACTCTACTGAATAAAACTATATTGTCCTTTACCATACCATACTGTACCGTACTGTACTGTACTCTACTGTGCCCTACTTTACTAAACTGTGCCGTACTGTACTGTGATGTTCAAACTTGTGAAACATAGCCTAGTCGTCTATGATTCTATCAGATTTGGATCTGGTCTACACCGACCAAATGTTTACTTGTTTGGGGGCGGAGCTCATTAAAGATTATACCCAGCATGATTTGCAAGTGTTTGTTTTAAAATGTACATTATGGTCATTTAACAGACGCTCTTCAGTCAGTGCATTTAACTAAGGGAAATAAACAATAACATATCACAGTCATAGCAAGAAAACATTTTTATGTAACCGTTACTGACAATGTTATTCTCGTTGAAGTGGCCTGTTGGTTTATTCTGTAGATTGGACTACTTTGAACACCATCGCTGCCAGTTTTAAAGCATTTGAAAAAGTTAACATAAGTGCATGTGACAGATGGGAGCAATAATAAATATTCTGTTACACTCTTCAGTTGGCTCGTCTTCCCTATATTAAGAGGCTTGAAAAAATATTATTGTGATATAATGCTTACTTTATTGAGAATGTACACTAACATTCAAAGGTTTGGGGTCACTTAGAAATGTCCTTGTTTTCTAAAGAAAAGCATTTTTTTTGTCCATTAAAATAACATCAAATTGATCAGAAATACAGTGTAGACATTGTTAATGTTGTAAATGGCTATTGTAGCTGGAAACGGCAGATTTTTAATGGAATATCTACAAAGGCATACAGAGGCCCATTATCAGCAACCATCAGTCCTGTGTTTCAATGGCATGTTGTGTTTGCTAATCCAAGTTTATCATTTTAAAAGGCTAATTGATCATTAGAAAACCCTTTTGCAATTATGTTAGCACAGCTGAAAACTGTTGTGCTGATTAAAGAAGCAATAAAACTTATTGAGACTAGTTGAGTATCTGGAGCATCAGCAATTGTGGGTTTGATTACAGGCTCAAAATGGCCAGAAACAAAGAACTTTCTTCTGAAACTCATCAGTCTATTCTTGTTCTGAGAAATGAAGGCTATTCCATGCGAGAAATTGCCAAGAAACTGAAGATCTCATACAACGCTGTGTACTACTCCCTTCACAGAACAGTGCAAACTGTTTCTAACCAGAATAGAAAGAGGAGTGGGAGGCCCCGGTGCACAACTGAGCAAGAGGACAAATACATTCGAGTGTCTAGTTTGAGAAACAGACGCCACCCAGGTCCTCAACTGGCAGCTTTATTAAATAGTACCCGCAAAACACCAGTCTCAACGTCAACAGTGAAGAGGCGACTCCGGGATGCTGACCTTCTAGGCAGAGTTGCAAAGAAAAATACATATCTCAGACTGGCCAATAAAAAGAAAAGATTAAGATGGGCTAAAGAACACAGACACTGGACAGAGGAAGATTGGAAAAAAGTGTTATGGACAGACAAATCGAAGTTTGAGGTGTTCGGATCACAAAGAAGAACATTTGTGAGACGCAGACCAAATGAAAAGATGCTGGAGGAGTGCTTGATGCCATCTGTCAAGCATGGTGGAGGCAATGTGATGGTCTGGGGGTGCTTTGGTGGTGGTATAGTGGGATATTTGTACATGGTAAAAGGGATCTTGAAGAAGGAAGGCTATCACTCCATTTTGCAACGCCATGCCATACCATGTGGACGGCGCTTGATTGGAGCCAATTTCCTCCTACAACAGAACAATGACACAAAGCACAGCTCCAAACTATGCAATAACTATTTAGGGAATAAGCATTCAGCTGGTATTCTGTCTATAATGGAGTGGCCAGCATAGTCACCGGATCTCAACCCTATTGAGCTGTTGTGGGAGCAGCTTGACCGTATGGTACGTAAGAAGTGCCCATCAAGCCAATCCAACTGGTGGGAGGTGCTTCAGGAAGCATGGGGTGAAATCTCATCAGATTACATCAACAATTTGACAACTAGAATTCCAAAGGTCTGCAAGGCTGTAATTGCTGCAAATGGAGGATTCTTTGACGAAAGCAAAGTTTGAAGGACACAATTATTATTTCAATTAAAAAACATTATTTCTAACCTTGTCAATGACTACATTTCCTATTCATTTTGTTATATTTCCTATTCAAACTCATTTCATATATGTTTTCATGGAAAACAATGACATTTCTAAGTGACCCCAAACTTTTGAACGGTGTATGTGCAGTTGAAATTTGGCCATAAAAATCAATGACCGAAAATACATATTTTCATCTGTAAATTCCGTATTTTCAATGTCCGGAAAATACGTATTTTTCACGTCTGGAAAATACTTATTTTTACCTTTCACTCGGCACCTAAAATGCACCTGATTTCAACGTCCAGAAAATACGTATTTTCAACATCCGTAATAGACATCTTGTCAATGTTCAGAAAATGCATATTTTAAACGACTGGAAAATATTTATTTTCAATGTTCTGAGAATACATATTTGCTTACTGGGATGTTTCTGCAATGTTGACAGTTGCCATCATGCTGGAGCATGCCAGTGCCAATGCAAGACATATTACAGTTTGCCCTATGTCACTGTATCTAGCAAGCAGGATTGTTGTTGGTTTGGTCCATGATATGTAAGACTATTGATTACCTTTGTGTGGAACGTGTTATCTCTCTTCAGTGTAAGACACCACATCCACCACCACCATGCCAGAAGGGGAGGTACGCCAGAGGAAGGGGAAGTCCAAGAAGTCCAAGTCAAAGGGCAAGGGGAAAGGCCAAGGTGGCAGTGCCAGCCTAGATGGGCAAGATGAGCTGCCATTATTGCACCCTGTCCAGCCCGTCAAGAAGGCTGTGGAGGAGAAGGTGGCCGTGGCCAAGGTGGAAGAAGAGTCGTCCATTTTCATCGGTCTCCAGGTGGTGTTCCCCTACCTGCTGGCTGGGATGGGGATGGTGATGGCTGGGATGGTGCTGGACAGCGTCCAGGTGAGTGCTCCATGTTGTCTTGAACCCTGATATCCAGCCTTCTCATGTTCAAGTGAATACGTTACATGACTATGAAATAGACTGTCTTACAGTATATACAGTAGGCAGTCACTGACGCTTACTCTGTTGGATCATTTATCAAATAATAATGCCAAAATCTTGGTATGTCTAATCTTATCAGTATTTGAGGACATAATTCATACTTCCAAAGGAATCAAGTGTATTGACACTTAAATATTGATTCTTAAAAAATAAATGACCTTCCAAACATCCCACTCAAATTGGTTAAAATAAGGCATTTGTTTTGCCATAATTTACATTTACATTTACATTTTCGTCATTTAGCAGACGCTCTTATCCAGAGCGACTTACAAATTGGTGCATTCACCTTATGATAGCCAGTGGGACAACCACTTTACAATATTTGTTTTCTCTCTTTTTTTCATTGGGGTGGGGTAATGGGGGGTAGAAGGATTACTTTATCCTATCCCAGGTATTCCTTAAAGAGGTGGGGTTTCAAGTGTCTCCGGAAGGTGGTGAGTGACTCTGCTGTCCTTGGCGTCGTGAGGGAGCTTGTTCCACCATTGGGGTGCCAGAGCAGCGAACATTTTTGACTGGGCTGAGCGGGAACTGTGCTTCCGCAGAGGTAGAGGGGCCAGCAGGCCAGAGGTGGATGAACGCAATGCCCTCGTTTGGGTGTAGGGACTGATCAGAGCCTGAAGGTACGGAGGTGCTGTTCCCCTCACAGCTCCGTAGGCAAGCACCATGGTCTTGTAGCAGATGCAAGCTTCAACTGGAAGCCAGTGGAGTGTGCGGAGGAGCGGGTTGACGTGAGAGAACTTGGGAAGGTTGAACACCAGACGGGCTGCGGCGTTCTGGATGAGTTGTAGGGGTTTAATGGCACAGGCAGGGAGCCCAGCCAACAGCGAGTTGCAGTAATCCAGACGGGACCTGTGCCGCTTCCTGTGTAAGGCAGGGTCGTACTCTGCGAATGTTGTAGAGCATGAACCTACAGGATCGGGTCACCGCCTTGATGTTAGCGGAGAACGACAGGGTGTTGTCCAGGGTCACGCCAAGGCTCTTTGCACTCTGGGAGGAGGACACAACGGAGTTGTCAACTGTGATGGCGAGATCATGGAACGGGCAGTCCTTACCCGGGAGGAAGAGCAGCTCCGTCTTGCCGAGGTTCAGCTTGAGGTGGTGATCCGTCATCCACACTGATACAGTGGGGGAAAAAAAGTATTTAGTCAGCCACCAATTGTGCAAGTTCTCCCACTTAAAAAGAAGAGAGAGGCCTGTAATTTTCATCATAGGTACACGTCAACTATGACAGAAAAAATGAGAAAATCACATTGTAGGATTTTTAATGAATTTATTTGCAAATTATGGTGGAAAATAAGTATTTGGTCACCTACAAACAAGCAAGATTTCTGGCTCTCACAGACCTGTAACTTCTTCTTTAAGAGGCTCCTCTGTCCTCCACTCGTTACCTGTATTAATGGCACCTGTTTGAACTTGTTATCAGTATAAAAGACACCTGTCCACAACCTCAAACAGTCACACTCCAAACTCCACTATGGCCAAGACCAAAGAGCTGTCAAAGGACACCAGAAACAAAATTGTAGACCTGCACCAGGCTGGGAAGACTGAATCTGCAATATGTAAGCAGCTTGGTGTGAAGAAATCAACTGTGGGAGCAATTATTAGGAAATGGAAGACATACAAGACCACTGATAATCTCCCTCGATCTGGGGCTCCACGCACGATCTCACCCCGTGGGGTCAAAATGATCACAAGAACGGTGAGCAAAAATCCCAGAACCACACGGGGGGACCTAGTGAATGACCTGCAGAGAGCTGGGACCAAAGTAACAAAGCCTACCATCAGTAGCATACTACGCCGCCAGGGACTCAAATCCTGCAGTGCCAGACGTGTCCCCCTGCTTAAGCCAGTACATGTCCAGGCCCATCTGAAGTTTGCTAGAGTGCATTTGGATGATCCAGAAGAGGATTGAGAGAATGTCATATGGTCAGATGAAACCAAAATATAACTTTTTGGTAAAAACTTAACTCGTCGTGTTTGGAGGACAAAGAATGCTGAGTTGCATCCAAAGAACATCATACCTACTGTGAAGCATGGGGGTGGAAACATCATGCTTTGGGGCTGTTTTTCTGCAAAGGGACCAGGACGACTGATCCGTGTAAAGGAAAGAATGAATGGGGCCATGTATCGTGAGATTTTGAGTGAAAACCTCCTTCCATCAGCAAGGACATTGAAGATGAAACGTGTCTGGGTCTTTCAGCATGACAATGATCCCAAACACACCGCCCGGGCAACGAAGGAATGGCTTCGTAAGAAGCATTTCAAGGTCCTGGAGTGGCCTAGCCAGTCTCCAGATCTCAACCCCATAGAAAATCTTTGGAGGGAGTTGAAAGTCCGTGTTGCCCAGCGACAGCCCCAAAACATCACTGCTCTAGAGGAGATCTGCATGGAGGAATGGGCCAAAATACCAGCAACAGTGTGTGAAAACCTTGTGAAGACTTACAGAAAACGTTTGACCTGTGTCATTGCCAACAAAGGGTATATAACAAAGTATTGAGAAACTTTTGTTATTGACCAAATACTTATTTTCCACCATAATATGCAAATAAATTCATTAAAAATCCTACAATGTGATTTTCTGGAGAAAAAAAATCTCATTTTGTCTGTCGTAGTTGACGTGTACCTATGATGAAAATTACAGGCCTCTCTCATCTTTTTAAGTGGGAGAACTTGCACAATTGGTGGCTGACTAAATACTTTTTTTCCCCACTGTATGTTCGCTAGCGAAACAGAATGTAAGCTTGCGAGATCAGGATGGTTCGTATGAGGCCAACATCTAGTGCCCTAAAGCTCCAAAGTGCTCAAAAGCGAATGACAGTCAGTGGCAGTGCAGTGAATCAAGAAGGAATCAACATGGGCTAGGTGTTGTTTAGAAATATATGGGATTCAGGGACAAGACATCTTGTTAGTATGCAAGAAGGTGGCATACTTTAGGTTTAGGTTATGCATTGTGTCCTTAAAGTTGGGCTGGGCATTATACAGTGAGGGAAAAAAGTATTTGATCCCCTGCTGATTTTGTACGTTTGCCCACTGACAAAGAAATGATCAGTCTATAATTTTAATGGTAGGTTTATTTGAACAGTGAGAGACAGAATAACAACAACAAAATCCAGAAAAATGCATGTAAAAAATGTTTATAAATTGATTTGCATTTTAATGAGGGAAATAAGTATTTGACCCCCTCTCAATCAGAAAGATTTCTGGCTCCCAGGTGTCTTTTATACAGGTATTTATACACTCTTAAAGGGAGTGCTCCTAATCTCAGCTTGTTACCGGTATAAAAGACACCTGTCCACAGAAGCAATCAATCAATCCGATTCCAAACTCTCCACCATGGCCAAGACCAAAGAGCTCTCCAAGGATGTCAGGGACAAGATTGTAGACCTACACAAGGCTGGAATGGGCTACATGACCATCGCCAAGCAGCTTGGTGAGAAGGTGACAACAGTTAGTGCGATTATTCGCAAATGGAAGAAACACAAAACAACTGTCAATCTCCCTCGGCCTGGGGCTCCATGCAAGATCTCATCTCGTGGAGTTGCAATGATCATGAGAACGGTGAGGAATCAGCCCAGAACTACACGGGAGGATCTTGTCAATGATCTCAAGGCAGCTGGGACCATAGTCACCAAGAAAACTATTGGTAACACACTACGCCGTGAAGGACTGAAATCCTGCAGCGCCCGCTGCTCTAGAAAGCACATATACATGCCCGTCTGAAGTTTGCCAATGAACATCTGAATGATTCAGAGGAGAACTGGGTGAAAGTGCTGTGGTCAGATGAGACCAAAATGGAGCTCTTTGGCATCAACTCAACTCGCCGTGTTTGGAGGAGGAGGAATGCTGCCTATGACCGCAAGAACACCATCCCGACCGTCAAACATGGAGGTGGAAACATTATGCTTTGGGGTTGTTTTTTTGCTAAGGGGACAGGACAACTTCACCGCATCAAAGGGACGATGGACCGGGCCATGTACCGTCAAATCTTGGGTGAGAACCTCTTTCCCTCAGCCAGGGCATTGAAAATGGGTCGTGGATGGGTATTCCATCATGACAATGACCCAAAACACACGGCCAAGACAACAAAGGAGTGGCTAAAGAAGAAGCACATTAAGGTCCTGGAGTGGCCTAGCCAGTCTCCAGACCTTAATCCCATAGAAAATCTGTGGAGGGAGCTGAAGGTTCGAGTTGCCAAACGTCAGCCTCAAAACCTTAATGACTTGGAGAAGATCTGCAAAGAGGAGTGGGACAAAATCCCTCCTGAGATGTGTGCAAACCTGGTTGCCAACTACAAGAAACGTCTGACCTCTGTGATTGCCAACAAGGGTTTTGCCACCAAGTACTAAGTCATGTTTTGCAGAGGGGTCAAATACTTATCTCCCTCATTAAAATGCAAATCAATTTATAACATTTTTGACATGCGTTTTTCTGGATTTTTTTGTTGTTATTCTGTCTCTCACTGTTCAAATAAACCTACCTTTAAAATTATAGACTGATCATGTCTTTGTCAGTGGGCAAACATACAAAATCAGCAGGGGATCAAATACTTATTTCCCTCACTGTATATTGTATTCAGGGTGGCTGCGAATGTGATGCGTATTTCATTAGATTGCAGCATTCCATGATTTCAACATTCTTTGAAGAGTAAAGAGAAGCGTAAACAGGAGAGGGTGGGTATGCTGCCGAAGTATGGCTCATTGCATGTCTCTTTCGCTGAATCACTGCTCTGATGCTGCATGGCGCTGACTTTGTCCTCTCCTCTGACCGTCGTCCCTGGCATTTGGCAGCCAGCTTACCCACCGGTGAGTAATCAGAGGCTGGTTCTCTCTCTTCCTCTCTCTCCGTCCCTCCGCATCATGCATGTGGTTTAGGGGAAACACAGCTGTGAGATCAGCTCTATGTATACTGCTGACGCCAGAGAGGGAAGTGGTAGGATGCCCTAACATAAAGAGACAGTCACAGCATGCAAAGGGATAGACAGAGGCAGTCTGAGCAGAGGGACATGAAAAGAAGGACTGAGGGAGGATATGAGAGGGCAGATACCAAGTGGTCAGATGAAAGGGGGTGACACTACACACAGAGAGGAGCAAAGCCAGCCCACCAGTTAGAGCAGGTCCCTGACATATGTTTCTGACAGGACTTAAACCTGTTACTACAACCGAGAGAAACACAGTAGAGAGATGGAGCGGGAGATAGAGGAAGAGAGACTCTGTGTGCTAGAATAAAGAGGGGGAAGGTGGAGGGGGGGATAAACTGTGCGTTTAAGAGGGAGAGGGAGCATGGAGTGAGTGAGTCACGACACCAGAGAGAGAGAGGGAGGAATAGAGAGAGTGTGTCTCAGTCTCAACCGGTAAGCCGGTCGTCCTCCTGAATGACTGTGGCGCAGACAGACAGCCTTCCTCCTGCAGAGGCCTCCCTTGATGGTGAATGAGTCTCCAGGAACCTACTGCGTTGCTGTTTTCTCAGAGGGCACAGAGAACACTGTCAGTGAGCCAGCAAAGGGCCATCGAAACAATCAAACAAATGGAACAGGAGCAACAAAGAGCATCTAATGGGGCAGAAGGATCAACTGCACCTGCTGCCTCTTTCTATTCTCTGTCAAGGACCGGGGATTGAATGAAAGCCTCTTGATAGAGGTTCATTGTTTGTTTGTGAGCTAGTAAGATGGAGCCTGTTGGTGTATCATATGACAGAGAGAGTGATGTCTGGACCCCTCACCAGGACTGACGCATCAATGTACAAGATAACTTTTGGTGTTTTCTGAGTTTGTTCCATTCTCTCTAATATCTTCTGGGGAAAAGGAGTATTTACATTTACATTTTAGTCATTTAGCAAACGCTCTTATCCAGAGCGACTTACAGTTAGTGAGTACATACATTTTTCATACTGGCCCCCTGTGGGGTCAAGGACATGGCGAGGACAGCACAAGAACAACGTCTAACTTCAAGAGGACTTTAATCAAGTTCACCCACTTTTCAGCACAAGGGTCCTTTGTTACTTCTTCATAGTCACCAGCTTTGTTGTCACGACCTTTCATGAATCACGGAAAGCAACATTGTAGTGAAGTCAAGCTCCCACCTGTGAGGTAAGCGGCGGAGACACTAGCTTGTGGTGCTTACTGGCGAAAGAACATAGTACTTGTCTGTGGATCCCAGGCTGTGTCACTGTCCACCCCCAGCCCTTTATCCCTACCCAGTCAAGCGTTTGAGGAATGGGGTAAGTGGATACAATCATGGTGGTGACACGGCTGGAACTGGAGCTGTGCTACCAGGGGAAGAAGTTGCGTGGCTTCACCTGTAAGCTGACCCGCTCTGCCCATGGCTTCCTGCCTGAGAGCTCCTGGCAGATTGCAGCCCAGGTGCTGCTGCCATACCTGGTGGCTGGACTGGGAATGGTCTCCGCTGGCATCATCATGGATATTGTACAAGTATGGATCTATGTGATGGGCTACCTGTCTCCTCCTACTTCTGTGTATTTATAACCATCTGTGATCACGTGTGTGTGTGTGTGTGTGTGTGTGTGTGTGTGTGTGTATATATAACTTATTATAGGCCTCTTTTATGTAGATTGATAGGATTCAAAATGGTCAGGTCATTAAAGGCCAACAGGGACGGACCACTTACAGCGCTGTCTTAGAACATCTGAGAGAATTGTTTTGAGAATGGTTTCGCTCCTGTTGTAACCCCTCTGGATATTAGTAATGCATTTTAGTCACAGGGGCACTGGAAAGATGGACAATGACTTGAAACACAGGACTCATCATGCCTAAGATTTTCTCAGAAGCTTATCAGTTTGTTTCATGAAATTTCCTCTAATATCCTCTCTATTTTGGATGCCCATTTTCAACTCTTTCTCCTCCTTCCATTGCCATACAAATCCGATTTGGAGGTGGGAAAGGTCTGGGGAGGCTTTAATTGAATAGAGAGAGCGAGTGGGCAGTTGGCTGACATAGGGAGGATTGATGAATCAGACTGGTAATGAGAGAGACAGAGGTTTGCATCCCAAATGGCACCCTATTCCCTATGTAGTGCACTAAAAAAGGGATAGGGTGCTATCTGAGCTGGAGCTAGGGCTCTGGACCGCCCACCAGCGGAGGCAGAAGGAACTGGGACACTTCCCAAGATAGGGCCCGAATGTGACAGCCTTCCATCGACATTCGAGAAGAAATTGAGAGCGGCATATAAAATAACTTACCCCACCCCCATCCTGGCAAAGCTGACTTATCTGTTCATTTATACTTTCCTCTATTTTTAGATCTGCAGTGGGAGGTTTGTAGACACGTTGTCAAGAGGAACTCTCATTCACTCAATTTAACTATTTTAATGTTCTGTCTGACAAAGTCTATCTGACAAAATAGATGCCAATATATAACTGAGATTAAACTCGAGTAATATTTAATTTTGAAGATCACAGTTTACAAAGAAAGGAAGGACTGCTGGTGTTGGATGATTATTTTAGCATTGGGATGATGGTGGTATTTGAGGACAATATAAGTGTTTATCCCTGTCGGGGTCCGGCTGAAAGGACACAGTTGATAATGATGTCTGTGTCTGTGTGTTTCAGCACTGGGAGGTGTTTAAGATCATCACAGAGATCTTCATCCTGGTTCCAGCTCTGGTGGGGCTGAAGGGCAACCTGGAGATGACCCTGGCTGCTCGCCTCTCCACCGCAGTGAGTCCACATCTTCAGCATCCTAATATAAATAGAATAATATATACCATTTAGAATACGCTTTAATCCTAACAGTCATACTTGCATACATTTTACGTACGGGTGGTCCGGGGAATCAAACCCAGTATCCTGGCGTTCCAAGCACCATGCTGTACCAGCTACTGAGCTACAGAGGACCGCATCCTATTGTATAAAGTACGTAGTATTAGCCAAAGTAGGACGGCAAAGTAGCCTGGTCTCTTCATGCTCTCTTGCTAACTCCTAGGGGCTAGTGTGAAAGTGTAAATAAATACACATTTCCCCACAAATAATCACACAGAAAGCTCTTGTTGAAAAGCCAAAGTTTGATGTTGGCGTATGTTGTACTGATGATGAGCTCTTTTGTTTAGGCTAACACTGGACAGATGGATGACCCCAAGCATCAGTGGACGATGGTGTGCAGCAACCTGGCTCTCATTCAGGTATTCTCCAATATTCCATGACATGGTATCATTATAGTAAAGAATTATTGAATTATTTCTGTATGCTTTGATATTGATTTATTGGGAGACAGGCAGACAGGAAGATGGACATTCATAAGTCTTCCACGGCACAACTTGGCCTTTTATCTCCAAGCCTGAAAGACATATAGCAGCACTGTAACTGTAGCCCGAGGCTAACTTGACCTCGAGAATGGGATCACCGTAAAAGCAGCTGTGTTAGACTCGTCCAAGTTTAGGAAGAGCTCAAGATAGCCCTTGGTCACACATTATCCAAGGCATAATCATGTAGGTATGGTAAGCCCATAAGGGACAGTAAATGTGATGGATGAACCCAGGGGATGTGAAAATCAATTCTATCCACAGGTTCAGGCCACGGTGGTGGGCTTCCTGGCTGCAGTGGCAGCCATAACACTGGGGGCCATGTCTAGAGGTGGGGTGGAGCTGGACCAAGCTGCTGTGCTCTGTGCCAGCAGCATCATCACTGCATTCGTTGCAGCACTGTCTCTAGGTGAGTTCACCCTCAGGGTGTCTTTATTGGATTGAGATTCCAAGTGTCTTGATAGTAGTATCTGTTAACAGTTATGCTCACAGTCACCCCCTCTCTCTCCCTTCTCCATCCCTCGCTCTGCCTCCCTCCCCCTCTCTCCTTCCTTTCCTCCCTCCCCCTCTCTCTCTCCCCCTCCCTCCCTCCATAGGGCTCGTGATGATCGGGGTGATCATTGGCGCCAGGAAAGTGGGCATCAACCCAGACAATGTGGCCACGCCCATCGCTGCCAGTCTGGGAGATCTGATTACACTGTCCCTGCTGGCTGGAGTCAGTACTACACTCTACCAGTACCGAGGTATGGCTTTATTATAATGGATGAAGGGCTTAATCAACTTTGAATTAGAACGCAGTAATTAAACTATTAATAGAGTCAGTAGAGTGCATGTATCTGGGTAAATAACTATTTAAGCAAATTAAGACCTTCTCCACATTGTGGTCAGAAGTTACAGTGAACAAAAATATAAAGGCAACATGTAAAGTGTTGGTCGAATGTTTCATGAGCTGAAATAAAAGATCCCAGACATTTTTCATATGCACAAAAAGCTTATTTTTCAAAAAGAATTTCATTCTTGTTTACATCCCTGTTAGTGAGCATTTCTCCTTTGCCAAGATAACCCATCCACCTGACAGGTGTGGCATATCAAGAAGCTGATTAAACAGCATAATCATTACACAATTGCACCTTGTGCTGGGGACAATAAAAGGCCACTCTAAAATGTGCAGCGTGCAATTGGCATTCTGACTGCAGGAATGTCCACCAGAGCAGTTTGTATTTGTATTTGTATTTATTATGGTTCCCCATTAGCTGCTGCAAAGGCAGCAGCTACTCTTCCTGTAGTCCAGCAGAAATTAAGGCAGTAATATGCACTACCAGTCAAAGATTTGGACACACCTACTCATTCAAGGGTTTTTCTTTATTTTTACAATTTTTTACATTGTAGAATAATAGTGAAGACATCTAAACTATGAAATAACACATATGGAATCATGTAGTAACTAAAAAAGTGTTAAACAAATCAATATATATTTTATATTTGAGATTATTCAAATAGCCTCCCTTTGCCTTGATGACAGCTTTACACACTCTTGGCATTCTCTCAACCAGCTTCATGAGGTAGTCACCTGGAATGCATTTCAATTAACAGGTGTGCCTTCTTAGAAGTTTATTTGTAGAATTTCAGAGTATGCAAAGCTGTCATCAAGGCAAAGGGTGGCTATTTGAAGAATCTCAAATATAAAATATATTTTGATTTGTTTAACCCTTTTTTGGTTACTACATGATTCCATATGTGTTATTTCATAGTTGTGATGTCTTCACTATTATTCTACAGTGTAAAACATAGTAAAAATAAAGAAAAACCCTTGAATGAGTAGGTGTGTCCACATTTTTTGACTGGTATTGTACATTATAATAACAAAAATCAACATTAAAATACATTTTTACAACAGATTTCACAATACATTAAGTGTGTGGCCTCCGGCCACTACTCTACTACAACACACAATCCAGGTGTACGTGTGTGTATAGTGTGTATGTTATGTGTGTTTGTATGTATGTGTTTGTACCTGTGTGTGTGACTCTTCACAGTCCTCGCTGTTCCATAAGGTGTATTTTTATCAGTTTTTTAAATCAGATTTTACTGCTTGCTTGAGTTACTTGATGTGGAATAGAGTTCCATGTAGCCATGGCTCTATGTAGTACTGTGCGCATCCCATAGTCTGTTCTGGACTTGGGGACTGTGAAGAGACCTCTGGTGGCATGTCTTGTGGGGTATGCATGGGGGTCCGAGCTGTGTGCTAGTAGTTTAAACAGACAGCTCGGTGCATTCAACATGTCAATACTTCTTACAAAAACAAGTAGTGATGAAGTCAATCTCTCCTCTACTTTGAGCCATGAGAGATTGATGTTAGCTCTACGTGTACAAGGGCCAGCCTTGCTGCCCTGTTTTGGGCCAGTTGTAATTTTCCCAAGTCCCTCTTTGTGGCACCTGACCACAAGACTGGGCAGTAGTCCAGGTGCGACAAAACTAGGGCCTGTGGGACTTGCCTTGTTGACATTGTTGTTAAGAAGGCAGAGCAACGCTTTATTATGGACAGACCTCTCACCATTTTAGCTACTGTTGCATCAATATGTTTTGACCATAACAGTTTACAATGCAGGGTTACTCCAAGCAGTTTAGTCTCCTCAACTTGCTCAATTTCCCCATTATTCATTACAATATTTAGTTGAGGTTTAGTGAATGATTTGTCCCAAATACAATGCTAGGACTAACTGATTTCTTGCCACCCATTCTGAAACGGACTGCAGCTCTTTGTTAAGTGTTGCAGTGATTTTACTCGCTGTAGTGCTGACGTGTATAGTGTTGCGTCATCCGCATACATAGACACACAGGCTTCACTCAGACCCAGTGGCAGGTCATTAATAAAGATTGAAAAAAGTAAGGGGCCTAGACAGCTTCCCTAGGGAATTTCTGATTCCACCTGGATTATGTTGAAGAGGCTACCATTAAAGAACACCTTCTGTGTTCTGTTAGACAGGTAACTCACAATCCACAATATAGCAGGGGGTGTAAAGCCATAACATATACGTTTTTCCAGCAGCATACTATGATCGATAATGTCAAAAGCCGCACTGAAGTCTAACAAAACAGCTCCCACAATCTTTTTATTATACATTTCTCTCAGACAATCATCCGTCATTTGTGTAAGTGCTGTGCATGTTGAATGCCCTTCCCTATACGCGTACTGAAAGTCTGTTGTTAATTTATTTACTGTAAAATAGCATTGTATCTGGTCAAACACAATATTTTCCAAAATGTTACTAAGGGTTGGTAACAGGCTGATTGGTTGGCTATTTAAGCCTGTAAAGAGTGCCTTATTCTTGGGTAGCGGAATTACTTTTGCTTCCCTCCAGGCCTGAGGGCACACACTTGTTTGTAAGCTTAGATTGAAGAGATGGCAAATAGGAGTGGCAATATCGTCTGCTATCATCCTCAGTAATTTTCCATTCAAGTTGTCAGACCCAGGTGGCTTGTCATTGTACACTCACTTTATAGAATTCAAAATTACAATGCTTGTCTTTCATAATTTGGTCAGTTATACTTGGATGTGCAGGTTCGGCATTTGTTGCTGGCATGTCATGCCGAAGTTTGCTAATCTTGCCAGTGAAATAATTAGTAAAGTAGTTGGCCGTATCAGAGGGTTTTGTGATGAATGAGCCATCTGATTCAGTGAATGATGGAGCTGAGTTTGCATTTTTGGCCCAAAATTTTATTTAAGGTGCTCCAAAGCTTTTTACTATCCTTCTTTATATAATTTATCTTTGTTTCATAGTATAGTTTCTTCTTCTTTTTTGTTCTGTCTAGTCACATGATTTCTCAATTTGCAGTAGGTTTGCCAATCAGTTATGCAGCCAGACTTATTTGCCATTCCTTTGGCCTCATCCCTCTCAACCATAACATTTTTCAATTCCTCATCAATCCATGGAGATTTAACCGTTTTTACAGTCATTTTCTTAATGGGTGCATGCTTATTAGTAACTGGAGTGCTCCTCATTACACACTACAGACCAGCACATGTTCTTTACATCATCAACTTAGGAATCACTACAAAACCTCTTGTAGGACCTCTTATATACAATATTAGGTCCAGCCTTTGGAACTTTGGTTTTCCTAGATATGGCTACCATATTGTGATCACTACAGCCGATGGATTTGGATACTTCCTTACAGCAGATTTCTGCAGCATTAGTAAAGACATGATCAATACATGTGGATTTCATTCCTGTGCTGTTTGTAAATACCCTAGTAGGTTGACTGATAACCTGAACCAGGTCGCAGGCACTGGTTACAGTTTGAAGCTTTTTCTTGAGTGGGCAGCTTAATGAAAGCCAGTCAATATTTAGGTCACCCAGAAAATATACCTTTCTGTTGATATCCCATACATTATCAAGCATTTCACACATATTATCCAAATACTGACTGTTAGCACTTGGTGGTCTTTAGCAGCTTCCTACAATAATTGGCTTTAGGTGAGGTAGATGAGCCTGTTGCCATATTACTTCAACAGTATTTGAAATGAGATCCTTTCTAAGCTTTACTGGAATGTGGCTCTGAATATAGACCGCAACACCACCCCCGTTGGCATTTCTGTCTTTTCTGTAGATGTTATAACCATGTATTGCTACCACTATATATCATCAAAGGTATTATCTAAGTGAGTTTCAGAGATAGTCAGTATATGAATGTAATCTGTTACTGTCGATTTCATAAACCTTGTTTCTTAGGCTACATATGTTAATGTGGGCTATTTTTAGCACTTTTCTGGGATGCTTGATTGTTTTGATTGTTTTACTGAGCGGCTTATCAGAAATAGACATGACCGTGATACAGTGAGGAAAAAAAGTATTTAGTCAGCCACCAATTGTGCAAGTTCTCCCACTTAAAAAGATGAGAGAGGCCTGTAATTTTCATCATAGGTACACGTCAACTATGACAGACAAATTGAGAAAAAAAATCCAGAAAATCACATTGTAGGATTTTTTATGAATTTATTTGCAAATGATGGTGGAAAATAAGTATTTGGTCAATAACAAAAGTTTCTCAATACTTTGTTATATACCCTTTGTTGGCAATGACACAGGTCAAACGTTTTCTGTAAGTCTTCACAAGGTTTTCACACACTGTTGCTGGTATTTTGGCCCATTCCTCCATGCAGATCTCCTCTAGAGCAATGATGTTTTGGGGCTGTCGCTGGGCAACACGGACTTTCAACTCCCTCCAAAGATTTTCTATGGGGTTGAGATCTGGAGACTGGCTAGGCCACTCCAGGACCTTGAAATGCTTCTTACGAAGCCACTCCTTCGTTGCCCGGGCGGTGTGTTTGGGATCATTGTCATGCTGAAAGACCCAGCCACGTTTCATCTTGGTCCCAGCTCTCTGCAGGTCATTCACTAGGTCCCCCCGTGTGGTTCTGGGATTTTTGCTCACCGTTCTTGTGATCATTTTGACCCCACGGGGTGAGATCTTGCGTGGAGCCCCAGATCGAGGGAGATTATCAGTGGTCTTGTATGTCTTCCATTTCCTAATAATTGCTCCCACAGTTGATTTCTTCAAACCAAGCTGCTTACCTATTGCAGATTCAGTCTTCCCAGCCTGGTGCAGGTCTACAATTTTGTTTCTGGTGTCCTTTGACAGCTCTTTGGTCTTGGCCATAGTGGAGTTTGGAGTGTGACTGTTTGAGGTTGTGGACAGGTGTATTTTATACTGATAACAAGTTCAAACAGGTGTCATTAATACAGGTAACGAGTGGAGGACAGAGGAGCCTCTTAAAGAAGAAGTTACAGGTCTGTGAGAGCCAGAAATCTTGCTTGTTTTTAGGTGACCAAATACTTATTTTCCACCATAATTTACAAATAAATTCATTAAAAATCCTACAATGTGATTTTCTGGATTTTTTTTGCCTCAATTTGTCTGGCATAGTTGACGTGTACCTATGATGAAAATTACAGGCCTCTCTCATCTTTTTAAGTGGGAGAACTTGCACAATTGGTGGCTGACTAAATACTTTTTTTCCCCACTGTATTTATGTTTGAGCTGATAGTGCAGAATTAGCTGCACACAGCAAACTTCCTATTAGGGCACACCGCCTCAGTGCTAACAGTATCACTCTGGTTCATAGACACATTATTACTGCATACAATCGCTATTGGATCGACAGAGGAATTCAGGGGACTTAGAGGGACATAAATTAGGTTACTTGCATTATGACTTCCAACACTCCTGGGACAATGTACATTTGCTGCAGCACTACGACAACTCAGTGACACAATGGTAGGGATTATCTGAGCAGGGCTTGGGTCGTTGATAAGTCATTGTCTCAACGCAGCCTTGAAATGCGTGGACAGAGTTCAGGAGCCAAGATGATTTGGATGGACTCTGTCATTCCTGTAGAGCATCTTTTGTTTCCAGAAGGTGTCAAAGTTTATTTTTATTTTATTTAACCAGGTAAGCCAGTTGAGAACAAGTTCTCATTTACAACTGCGACCTGGCCAAGATAAAGTTATCGATAAAAGTTATCCCAACAGAGCTACAGTAATCTTTTAGCCAGATGTGTAATGCCAGTAGCCTGCTGAATCTCTCACAGACGCGGCCCAACGATGGTACCGGGCCAGAAATAATTGGCTGCTGCGGGATTGTCTGATACCAGATACCCGGACAGCTGAAGAAACTGTGGGTTTGCACAACCGAAGAATTTCTGCACAAACTGTCAGAAACCGTCTCAGGGAAGCTCATCTACGTGCTCGTCGTCCTCACCAGGGTCTTGACCTGACTGCAGTTCGGCGTCATAACCGACTTCAGAGGGCAAATGCTCACCTTCGATGGCCACTGGCATGCTGGAGAAGTGTGCTCTTCACAGATGAATCCCGGTTTCAACTGTTCCGGGCAGATGGCAGACAGCGTGTATGGCAGGGTGTGGGCGAGTAGTTTGCTGATGTCAACGTTGGGAACAGAGTGCCCCATGGTGGCGGTGGGGTTATGGTATGGGCAGGTATAAGCTACGGACAACAAACACAATTGCATTTTATCGATTGCAATTTGAATGCACAGAGATAGCGTAACGAGATCCTGAAGCCCATTGTCGTGCCATTCATCCACCGCCATCACCTAAAAAATGGCATATTATTATTATTATTATTATTATTATGTTTCAGTATGATAATGTACGGCCCCATGTCGCAAGGATCTGTACACAATTCCTGGAAGCTGAAAATGTCCCAGTTCTTCCATGGCCTGCATACTCACCAGACATGTCACCCATTGAGCCTGTTTGGGACGCTCTGGATCGACGTGTACAACAGCGTGTTCCAGTTCCCGCCAATATCCAGCAACTTCACACAACCATTGAAGATGAGTGGGACAACATTCCACAGGCCACAATCAACAGCCTGATCAACTCTATGTGAAGGAGATGTGTCGCGCTACATGAGGCAAATGACTGGTTTTCTGATCCACGCCCCTACTTTTTTAGGTATCTGTGACCAACAGATGCATATATGTATTCACAGTCATGTGAAATCCATAGATTAGGGCCTAATGATTTTATTTAAATTGACTGATTTCCTTATATGAACTGTAACTCAGTAAAATCGTTTACATTGTAGCATGTTGCGTTTATATTTTTGTTCCGTGTAAGTTCCCACTCATCTGTTGCCTGTGGTCAGCACCGACTGTACAGTTAGCTAATTTTACAAAGCCCAATTTAAACATGCAGAAGTAAAATGGTTTTAATGTTGAATTATCAAACAATCTTTAAGCAATTTTGGAGGTGCTCCTATGTCAGATGAATTGTGTTCTATTTGTGTGGGAGAGGGGTAACAGTGCATTGTGGACACTATTCTAAGCTGTGTTTTCTCTGTTGTGTAGACGTCTGGTACCTGTCTCCCCTGTTGTGTGTGTTCTTCCTGGCTCTGATCCCTCTGTGGGTGGTGGTGGCCCGGAAGAGCCCTCAAATCAAGGAGGTCCTCGTCTCTGGCTGGCAGCCTGTCATCATAGCCATGTCTATCAGCAGGTACGACACACAGGACACCTTATCATTCTTATCATATGGTCCTGTATGGCTCAGTTGGTAGAACTTGCAACGCCAAGATAGTGGGTTCGATTCCCGGGCCCATCCATACGTAAAATGTATGCACGCACAACTGTAAGTCGCTTTGGATAAAAAAACTTGTATTATTATTATTATAATATTATTATTATTCAATACATGTATCTAATCAGTAGATGCTTGACTGATGTTTTTCATTATGACCTTTTTCAGTTTTGGGGGACTCATATTGGACAAGACTGTTAGCGACCCTAACTTTGAGGGGATGGCTGTCTTTACACCCGTCATAAATGGTGAGTGGACTCATCTTGGTTAAATTAAACTAGAAAATGGTCTCTGAACACATTATACAAGGATGGAAATGGGTGAGTTGAGTTATTAACTCTACCATGAGATATGCATGACTCTCTTCGCCTGAGTGAGAATGAGATGTGAAGACAATACTGGTGAGACAGCATTCGGCGGCCCCATTCTGTGAGCTTGTGTGGCCTACCACTTGGCGGCTGAGCCGTTGTTGCTCCCAGACGTTTCCACTAAACAATAACAGCACTTACAGTTTACTGGGGCAAATCTAGCAGGGCAGGAATTTGACAAACTGACTTTTTGAAAAGGTGGCATCCTATGACAGTGCCACGTTGAAAGTCACTGAGATCTTCAGTAAGGCCATTCTACTGCCAATGTTTGTCTATGGAGATTGCATGGCTGTGTGCTGGATTCTATACACCTGTCAACAACGGGTGTGGCTGAAATAGCCGAATCCACTAATTTGAAGGGGTGTCCACATACTTTTGGTGATGTAGTGTATCTTTTCAAGGAAATTAACTTAAATATGATTAGGCTATATAGTTTACAGTGTCGGTAAATTCATATTGATAATGGAAAGAAGTGGCGGGCACTCAACCAACAAGAGTCGAGGTGCAATCAAAAAATTTGATAGTTGAAAAGAATGAGCGAGCGTTGCTGCTGCTTTTCCTTTTCAATAAATATGGATTACCCATTTCTTTGTCTCTGCCTGCAAATCGTCCCGCTCCTAAAAGGTAGGCTAAATCCTATATGCAAAAGGTAGCTCGTGAGAAAGTGCAAGTGTCTGCTCTCATCATTCTTGCTGCTTCAAGTTCAGTAACCATATCCTCTCCTAATTGAGCGTGCGATATCAGGTGTGCTTGTGATCTCAATTAAATAGAGTACTAGGCTTTATCCTATGCAGAAGCACAGGCAGATATCTTTCCAAGGAAATTAACTTCCTAAATATGATTAGGCTATAGTTTACTACATTGCCTAGAAATAAATATTGATAACACATATTTGTGTCCGTCTGAGAGTTCTCCCTCTCCTGAAAGGTAGGCTATTAGGCCTATGCTAAACGTAGCTCAAGAGAAAGTGCAAGTGTCCGCTCTCTCTCCAACTCTGCATTCTTCAAACTACGTCTAGCATATTGGCTGATATAGCCCAGTAATACCGATAGCCTAATATAATGGGCTACGTGAAAATCTCGGGTAATTTAACCTAGCCTATTTCTTAGGTTATTTTAGCGCATTTTGATATTACCTATAGTATAGGGCGCACACTTGCTGGAACCATGGCTGTCAAGCGAGCTGTGTCACATATGGCCTAAAATAACATTGCAGGACTGTGGTTGGGTTGGAGACCAGGGAGCGGGGTGGGAGTCAGACAAAAAGCCAGCGGGAGCGGGCAGGTGCGGTATGAAAAGCTGAGGGCGCAGGATGAAGACATCAGTCCCGTGCAGACCTCTACAATCAGGGATCTATCAATGTGGAATTGATCAATCAAATAAGAAATGAAATAAATCAACAATTCCTAAGAGTATATCCTTATGAAGTCAAAAGCATGTGGTGGACAACATATGTGTTTTACATATAGAGAGTCATGTTTCATATTTCAATGGAAAAGCATGTGACTATATAATAGGAGACTTGTGTGGTTGATATTCTTTCCATGCTTGGTGGTTCCCCTCAGGTGTTGGAGGGAACTTGGTGGCCATCCAGGCCAGTCGGCTCTCAACCTACCTTCACTTCTGGAGCATGCCTGGAGTCTTGCCCTATAAGATGAGACAGCACTGGCCCAGCCCCTTCACTACCTTCTTCACCTCAGGAAAGGCTCCTCCACTCTGTCTTTCTATAGAGGGTCATGGATTGCATGTATATATGTCTGTGGGGAACAAAACAGGGAGAATATATGCCAGTGACATCCTCTCTGTTTGTGATTTATCAAATATGAACTTTACTCTTTGGAACCACTCTCTTGCCATTCTTGTTATATTTGTCCTCTCTTCATCATAGTATTTGTACATACAGTGCATTCGGAAAGTATTCAGACCCCTTCGCTTTTTCCACATTTTGTTATGATACAGCCTTATTCTAAAATGTATACAATAATTTTTTCCCCTCATCAATCTACACACAATACCCCATAATGACAAAGCGAAAACAGGTTTTTAGAAATTTTTGCAAATGTATTACAAATAAAAAACAGAAATACATTATTTACATAAGTATTCAGACCCTTTGCTATGAGACTCAAAATTGAGCACAGGTGCATCCTGTTTCCATTGATCATTCATGAGATGTTTCTACAACTTGATTAGAATCCACCTGTGGTAGATTCAATTGAATGGACATGATTTGGAAAGGCACACACCTGTCTATATAAGGTCCCACAGTTGACAGTGCATGTCAGAGCAAAAACCAATCCATGAGGTCGAAGGAATTGTCCATAGAACTCTGAGACAGGATTGTGTCGAGGCACAGATCTGGGGAAGGGTACAAAAATATTTCTGCAGCATTGAAGGTCCCCAAGAACACAGTGGCCTCCATCATTCTGAAATGGAAGAAGTTTGGAACCACCAAGACACTTCCTAGAGCTTGCCGCCAGGCCAAAATGAGCAATCGGGGGAGAAGGACCTTGGTCAGGGAGGTGACCAAGAACCCGATGGTGACTCTGACAGAGCTCTAGAGTTCCTCTGTGGAGATGGAAGAACCTTCCAGAAGGACAACCATCTCTGCGGCACTCCACCAATCAGGCCTTTATGGTACAGTGGTCAGACGGAAGCCACTCCTCAGTAAAAGGCACATGACAGCCTGCTTGGAATTTGCTAAAAGGCACCTAAAGGACTCTCAGACCATGAGAAACAAGATTCTATGGTCTGATGAAACCAAGATTGAACTCTTTGGCCTGAATACCAACCGTCACATCTGGAGGAAACCTGGGACATTCTCTACGGTGAAGCATGGTGGTGGCAGCATCATGTTGTGGGGATGTTTTTCAGTGGCAGGGACTGGGAGACTAGTCAGGATATAGGGAAAGATGAACGGAGCAATGTACAGAGAGATCCTTGATGAAAACCTGCTCCAGAGCACTCAGGACCTCAAAGGTCCACCTTCCAACAGGACAACGACCCTAAGCACACAGCCAAGACAACGCAGGAGTGGCTTCGGGACAAGTCTCTGAATGTCCTTGAGTAGCCCAGCCAGAGCCCGGACTTGAACCCGATTGAACATCTCTGGAGAGACCTGTAAATAGCTGTGCAGCCACGCTCCCCATCCAACCTGACAGAGCTTGAGAGGATCTGCAGAGAAACTCCCCAAATACAGGGGTGCCAAACTTGTAGCGTCATACCCAAGAAGACTTGAGGCTGTAATCACTGCCAAAGGTGCTTCAATAAAGTACTGAGTAAAGGGTCTGAATACCTATGTAAATGTGATATTTCCGGTTTTTATGTTTAATACATTTGTAAGAATGTCTAAAAACCTGTGTTTGCTTTGTCATTATGGGATATTGTGTGTAGATTGATAAGAGAAAAACTAACATTTAATCCATTTTAGAATAAGGATGTAATGTAACAAAATGTGGAAAAAGTCAAGGAGTCTGAATATTTTCCAAAGGCACTGTATTTACCTTTCAGCCAGTGCTTCCACAGTAACTAACTAGATAAGAAAGCTACCTACAGTATTCATTAGTTGCCTTTGTCTCTCCAGGTGTGAACTCCAAGTCAGCGAGGGTGTTGTTCCTACTGGTGGTGCCTGGTCACCTGGTGTTCCTCTATACCATCTCTCTGCTCCAAGGAGGCCACACTGCCCTCACTGTCACCTTCATCGTCTGCTACCTGTGTGCCACCCTTCTCCAGGTACACCCTATGCCCTCGCCTGCTACCCTCAGTCACTGGTCCACTGATGGAGTTTGGTAAAGTCTCATACAACGTTATAAGGACTTTTCATTATAGAGTTATTGACGTATAAGGACTTATGGATTTCTCATTCAAATCTGATGTGTGATTGATTGTCTGTCTGTATGGGATGTTCCTCCAGGTGGGCATCCTCCTCTATGTGGCTGACCTGATAGTCCGTCTGATGTGGAGGAGGAGTCTGGACCCAGATAACTTTTCCATCCCCTACCTGACAGCCCTGGGAGACCTGCTGGGGACCGGCTTCCTGGCTTTGGTCTTCCGCTCCGTCTCACTCATGGAGGGGCTGGGACTCTGAAAGGGAGGGGGGTCATCGGTCTCCTACAGGCCTCTCTGTGCTGTGCCTTCCCAGACCAGGGGTCTGTATCATCTCCTTGCCCTGCCTCTCCTCTGCCTTCACCACTGGAGGGGAGTTAGTTACTCTACTGGGCGTGGGGATGGCTGTGTGACTGACTGACTGCATTCACACTCACTCACTCATTCACTCACTCACTCAGCTTGCAGTTCATCAGCAGGTGTGGGTCGTTAAAAACCTCAAAGTATGGGTGATGGGACAAACTGCAAACTCATCCAGGTCCTATTTCACACACCCCACATGTCACCTGTGAATGTGAGACGACTGAAAAATCAACACACTAAATTGAACTTTTTCTGAAATTCGGGAACGGTTATTGATCAAGAATGGGTGCATTGTATGTTGGTGTATGAAAATGAATTTGAACTTGTTTACAGTATTTCTGGATGTAGAATGCAGAGTGGGGCTTGGCAATAGACAGAACTCAAAAAACCTTAATGGACTGGTAACTACTGGAACATTCTGTTGTAGACCAAACATCACCACCAATGCTTAGCTTGAAACTACTGCACCCATTGAAATTGAAACTAGGGTGTGGGAGAGAACTGGACCTGTGAATGTATCAATGATAGAACATATTTGAAGGACATCAGTATTATTTAGTGATTTTCTAAGAGCCGCTTACTATCACAGTGTTAAGTTAAAAAGTTACAACTTTTAAGGGAGGAACATCTTAAACCAGAATGAAGTTACTATTGGCATGTCATCAGTAATGTGAGATGGGGTAAGGGAAAAGAATTGAAACTGTTCTCAAATCTGCTCAAGGCTATCTCGTATGACAGGACAGGCAAAAGTGTCATTGCAAAATGCCTAATAAAGCTTTACTAATGTTTTTCACATATTAATGTTCAGCAGCAATCTTAAATGCAAAAACAAAGCCTTAATGTACACAGTATCTGTCAAGTCCATGTATCATGAAAGTTACATGTCGGTGTGTTTTGTATAATCACAAATGTCTATTTAAAGAAAAGGTAGCTTTATTTAAAACATTGCAATGGCCCCATTCACATGCCTTCTGTACATTACAACTGTAGTGCCCTCACTGCCAGCTCATGGTTAAGGGGCTTGAATAAAACAAATCTTAAGGCCAGGCACCACAGACTGAAATGGCATTTTTGCATCTACTTGATATTTTGGTCCTTTAATTTGAGAACTTTCAAAAGGTAAACATGAAAATGAAAAAAAGAAACTAATGTAAATGTATTTTTTAGTTTGTTTATCATCCTACCGTCATCAATATTTCATGAATTTTAATCACTTTAAAGTGGACATACATCCATAATTTCAAAGTTCACTACATTGAATCACACATTTTAAAGTCAATTTCATAGAGAATGTTACAAACTGGACTATATCTAGTAACTTACTTTGAAGAGATTTGGTCAAAATAGGCATTTGGCGATTGGTATGCAGAATTCAGTGTACTTGTCTTTTAACTGTCATTTCTCAAAAGTCAGACTCTTCCCACAGGCCAACTCATTTTTCTCAGCTTCAGAAGCATCTACGTTCACCAATGTTTGTGTGGTTATCCTTAGATATATTATCCAGAATTACTCAGAGGGAATTGTTGATTTGTCAAATATTTATTATAGATTACATTTTCTTGGAAATAGTTGCCAAAAATGCTTTTTATGTACAGGTAACTGCCAAAATAATGGAAACAATTGAGTAAATGAGGGATACAAATTATATGGAAAGCAGGTGCTTCCACACAAGTGTGGTTCCTGATTTAAATACGAAATTAAAGTCCCATCATGCTTAGGTTTCTTATTTTGGCTACCATGGCTATGCCCCCATAGGATGACAATGCCGCCATCCACAGGGCACGAGTGGTCACTGAGTGGTTTGATGAGCATGTAAACCATATGCCATGGCCGTCTGGCACCAGAGCTAACTCACAGCTAACTCTACTCAAATCAAATTTTATTTGTCACATGTACTGAATACAACAGGTGTAGACCTTACCATGAAATGCTTACTTACAAGTCCTTAACCAACAATGCAGTTTTAAGAGTTAAGAAAATATTTACTAAATAAACTAAAGTAAAAAATGTAATGATGGTGTTGGAGTTGTGCTTGTCCACGCAGTCGTGGATGAACAGGGACTACAGGAGGGGACTAAGACACACCCCTGAGGGACCCCGTGTTGAGGATCAGCGTGGCAGATGTGTTGTTGCCTGCCCTTACCACCTGGGGGCGGCCCGTCAGGAAGTCCAGGATCCAGTTGCAGAGGGAGGTGTTTAGTACCAGGGTCCTTAGCTTAGCCTAAATGAAGTGACTGAGCCACGAGTTGAGGACAAATGAAATCAGCTTCCCTCCCTGTCGCAAAGATTGCTTCATCATCCCCTTCATTTGAGGAAGAAGACTGATAATATTTTATTAATCAAATGTTTTGTTAAAAATTGTAATATTAAAATACCCATCACATTACACATTTAGTAATGACGGGATGCATTTGAAAGTTCACGCACAGTATCAATAGGTGGGGGAAAATGTGCCTGTGCATTGATAAGCACACCAAAGACGGCATTAACGATAGGTAATAAAATGAAAATGCCACTTCTAATAGCCTATTTCACAGCATAGCCTGCTGAATTCGCAAGAAAGCTTTTCTTTCGTGTTGATTTCGGCAAAAATGTAAATGTATCACTGACACGCCCATGGATTGATGTTTCAGCATTGGCTCAGTGAATAGTTCCACGTTCGACTAGCCATGTGCGACATGCACGCGCAGTTAGAAGCCTGCTAGAGTTAGCTGCAGGCTGATGAGCAATATCCACCGTCATAGTACGGATGAAGCCTGAGCTGGAATGTGAAACTAACTGAAGCTGGATAGCTTTATAAACGCCTGAGTAGATCTAGCTTGCTTCGTAGTGTATATCACTCTGATCTCAACCCACTTATGGGCGATCCTGGAGCAGCGCTTGAGACAGCGTTTTCCACATAGAAATAAGAATGAATAGAACAGGCTTGGAACCTCTAACCCTGGCAATTTGACTGGTAAACTCATGGGTACACTCACAATGGCTGCCTGGTATTGTGATGTAATAATTTCCATGGTAATGTAGAATGTTCATTCAAATGATGCTAACTGACATTGCTCATGCAATGGAATGTATTTTTTGAAATGTAATTTGAGTTGAATCAACAAATCACAGCACAGACTGATGGTTACACTTCCTGCTTTTACTTCCTTCTTTGCTCTTATGGGTTCACTCGCAATGGCCGCCAGTCCACCCATTTTCTATCAATCAATCAATCCAATGTGACATCTGCAGATGTCACAAAGTGCTATACAGAAACCCAGCCTAAAACCCCAAACAGCAAGCGATGTAGATGCACGGTGGCTAGGAAAAACTCCCTAGAAAGGCAGAAACCTTGGAAGAAACCTAGAGAGGATCCAGGCTCTGAGGGGTGGCCAGTCCCCTTCTGGCTGTGCCGGGTGGAGATTATACCAGTACATGGCCATTAAGGCCAGATTTATCTCCAAGATGTTCAAACGTTCATAGATGAACAGCAGGGTCAAATAATAATCACAGTAGTTGTAGAGGTTGCAACAGGTCAGTACATCAGGAGTAAATGTCACTTGGCTTTTCATAGCCGGGCATTTAGAGGTTGAAATAGCAGGTGCGGTAGAGAGAGAGAGTTGAAAACAGCAGGTCTGGGACAAGGTAACACGTCCGGTGAACAGGTCAGAGTTCCATAGCCGCAGACAGAAGAGTGGAAACTGGAGCAGCAGCACGACCAGGTGGACTGGGGACAGCAAGGAGTCATCAGGCCAGGTAGTCCTGAGGTATGGTCCTAGGGCTCAGGTCCTCCGGGAGGGGAGGGAGAGAGAGAGAATTAGCATACTTAAATTTACACAGGACACCGGATAAGACAGGAGAATAACACCAGATAACAGACTGACCCTAGCCCCCTGGCACATAGACTATTGCAGCATAGATATGCCATCATTCACTTGAATGGGGACGCCTGTTCTATTCATTCTTATTTCTAATGGTTTTCCACCACCACCACCAACAAAACACCAAATTATGGAATTTCTCATAAGAATGGTGTCACATCCCTCCAACAGAGTTCCAGACATTTGTAGAATATATACCAAGGTGCATTGAAGCTGTTATGGCTTGTGGTGGCCCAACGCACTATTAAGACACTTTATGTTGGTGTTTCATTTATTTTGGCAGTTACCTGTACATGTCTTTAGTATTTTACAGATAGAAAGACAAAAACATGATTTATCCATAATCTGGTCGAAGTAAATCCGGACCTGGAGCGTCTTACCAAAATGAAACCAAAATATTTAGGCTGACTTCATCCAGTGTCCAGAAAAATAGATTTTGCGGTATATGAAAATATGTGCACCTAATTTGCATATTGTAATACAAAAAAGCATTATATTTGTGTCTACATGTAACTGGTAAAAATGTATTGTGATAGTGTGTGGTGCCTGGCCTTAACATGCCTTTTTCTACACAATTGCAGAACTCTCATATTATTTAAGTTACCTTTCATAGACATTTCAAATGATGGTATCAATTACTTCATAAATGTACAACAAGCATCAATATGGTTTCTGTAGTCTGTGGCTCTGGTCAGTCCCACTGTAATAAAAAAAGCACTGAACAGTATGTGACCGCATAACCTGTCATATTTCTCTCTCAGCTCTCCCTGTGCTCCAGTCAGTCAATCCCATTGGTTTAACACAACTGACCACTGGTCTGTATCAGTTAGTGTACATTGGTATTAAATTCACAGTTTGTTGGTAACACACGATGAGCACATAAAGGAGTTTTTAAAGCCTGTGCAAAATGTTCCCCAATTAATGAGTTATATAGAAATTGCAGATAGGGCTTTTGTACTTTTCAAAAGTGGAGCAAACTTTAATTCCTTCACAATAGTTTCATAGCCTCAAAATAGATTTCTGTCACAGAATAACAGTCATTCATAATTGAAAATAAGGACATGGAAAAAGGTATCCTATGATGGTTGATCCTATGATGGTTGATAACCGGTAATGACAATACAAGATGTCATCACTTTCTACTAGTGTGCTTGGTTTTTGAGAAATTAGTGTGTGAAAGTATAATTTATATTGAATGGTGGATATTATTACTATAAAATACAATT